CAATCCAGTAGAAAGTTATGAAATTTTAAAAATTGAGCTGAATATTGGTCACAATCCAGTAGAAAGTTATGAAATTTTAAAAATTGAGCTGAATATTGATCACAATCCAGTAGAAAGTTATGAAATTTTAAAAATTAAGCTGAATATTGGTCACAATCCAGTAGTAAGTTATGAAATTTTAAAAAACCAATATTCAGCTCAAGTGAAATCCAGTAGAAAGTTATGAAATTTTAAAAATTGAGCTGAATATTGGTCACAATCCAGTAGAAAGTTGTGAAATTTTAAAAATTGAGCTGAATGTTGGTCACAATCCAGTAGAAAGTTATGAATATTATGATAAATGTTTGTCAGACTAAAATAATTGATTAAAAGTTTAATTCGCGTGAATTTGGTTAATTTCGTGGTTACAGTTTATTTATTGCTTATTTCACAAACAAATCAAATATCTAATTTACATTCATAAAATTTGTCCAAGCCATTTGACGCGTCCAAAAGATGGTTATCTGTAAGTTTTATTCTATTTAACTGAATTACTTCTTTACTAGCTGCTCTGCTACAGAATAATTTTATTTATAATCCATGTCAGCTAGCAATATCTCGGTTTTACTTAATAATATCAAGGTTCTACTTAACTATATCTCGGTTTTATTCAGTAACATCGTGGTTCTACTTAACAATATCTCAGTTTTACTTAATAATATCGTGATTTTACTTAATAATATCAAGGTTCTACTTAACAATATCTCAGTTTTACTTAACAATATCGAGGTTTTACTTAACAATATTGAGATTTTATTCAGTAACATCGCGGTTCTACTTAACAATATTGAGGTTTTATTCAGTGACATCGTGGTTCTACTTAACAATATTGAGGTTTTATTCAGTAACATCGTGGTTCTACTTAACAATATTGAGGTTTTATTCAGTAACATCGTGGTTCTACTTAACAATATCTCGGTTTTATTCAGTAACATCGTGGTTCTACTTAACAATATTGAGGTTTTATTCAGTGACATCGTGGTTCTACTTAACAATATTGAGGTTTTATTCAATAACATCGTGGTTCTACTTAACAATATTGAGGTTTTATTTTAAAATATTATGAAGTTACTAAACAAGGTCGTGGTTTGACTAACAATATTATGGTTTTACTTAAGTTGCAGTATTTAGTAATGATATTAGTTTTGTTGAATACAGTTTCAGTTCTTTAAACGATCTGACTTCGAAGCATGTTTTAAACTCAAGGTCGTTTTCTCAGTATTAATCTTTTTCTTCAACAATTTAGAATGATCATTTTTTTTTAAATACATTAAATGTTTCATTTCAACGTGATATTTACTTAAACCATTTTTTTTTTCAATTGTATAAAATACTTTTCTCGGTTTCATCTTTTATTTTATACATAACTTGTACAATAAATAAACGTTATCAACGGTAACAACAAATAGTTTAGAGAGAAGGACACGGAGGATAGAAAAATTCAAGATGACAAGAAAGTCAAGATGGAGGTTCTAGAAGGAAGGGGAGAAGTTTCCTTTCTTTTACTTGGCATGTAATGTTTAGAAGCTCTTCCCCCAGTCACAGGATGGCCACAACAGTTCGTGCTTGCTGCAGGAACTAGAGAGAGAAAATATAAACAAAATATATACATGTCTACATAACACGGATAAATCAAGACCCCAAGTTATAATCAAACAACGGAAAACTTTTTACCATAAGTTTAGGCTTAAGTACAGATACGTTCCCATTATAAGTAGAATGTCATTTCACAGCAAAGTTCACACTGTTATTAAGTTATTTCACAGCAAAGTTCACACTGTTATTAAGTCATTTCACCTCAAAGTTCACACTATTATTAAGTTATTTCACAGCAAAGTTCACACTATTATTACGTTATTTCACAGCAAAGTTCACACTATTATTAAGTTATTTCACAGCAAAGTTCACACTATTATTAAGTCATTTCACAGCAAAGTTCACTCTGTAAACACAATACTAAGTTATTTCACAACTAACTGATGCCGTGCCATTAAAACAATAATTTCAATTAAGGTACAAACAACTTTATAGATTGTCAAGTGAAGTACCAATTAAGGTACAAACACCTTTATAGATTGTCAAGTGAAGTACCAATTAAGGTACAAACAACTTTATAGATTGTCAAGTGAAGTACCAATTAAGGTACAAACACCTTTATAGATTGTCAAGTGAAGTACCAATTAAGGTACAAACAACTTTATAGATTGTCAAGTGAAGTACCAATTAAGGTACCAAACACCTTTATAGATTGTCAAGTGAAGTACCTCGAGTCTTGTTATTTCTTTTTTTATCACTCACCATACTTCCTGTATATGTCAAGGGAGACTACTACTTACCACGTGAATTTAGTGGTAGCCATAGCCATGATAGGCTGGAGCATACCCGTAACCATGGTTTCCATAGCCATATCCGTGGGTGCCATATCCGGCTCCCAGACGACCGTAGGAACCGTAACCGTGAGCGGCAGACAGGTCACGGGCACCGTAGGCACCGTGTCCGTAGCGGCCGTAGGCACCGAGGTTGGCGTGGCCGTAGTTATCGTGGAGACCGTAACGAGCTCCATAGGCACCATGGGCAGCGCCACGGTTGTGGTAACCGGCCTGCTTGTCGTAGGCGTAAGCTCTGGTGTATCCGGCTCCCTTGTTACGGGCGTAGGCACCGACATCTCCGTAGTGTCCAGCGTATCCGCCGTGGGCACCGTAGGCATTCAGGTTTCGCTGGGCAGCGTTGGCACGAAGACCGTGGGCACCGTGTCCGTAGGCTCCATAGCGGGAGTGGGCACCAAGAGCACCGTAGCCGTGAGCACCGTGAGCAGCTTTCAGGTATCCGCTGGCACCGTATCCAGCACCGTAGGCACCGTGTCCATAGGTGGCAGGAGCTACGTAGGATTCGGCTTCTTTCAGCTCCTCTGTCTCCTCAGCGACGACAGCTGCGACGAACAAGACGACGACAACAAAAAGCTACACATGAAACAGAAAATGAAAATTGATTTTTAACGATCTTTAAAATGACAGTAAGTAAATAAAGTGATGTTAATAAATTTACCAAACCTCGTGTCGTTTTAAGATAAACCTAGTTAGAAGTCGCAATAACGAGACAAGTTAAACACTTACAGTCTTCATTATTTCAATATCAGAGATTGAACACCAGGTTTGATTTTTGTAAAATTTGCTTCACTATTTATACTTTTTCAAGATACAGAAAACCACATGTTAAATGACCTGATTGTCATAGCTGTTAGGTATGAAAGTGAGAGAACCGGAAATGACGCTATTGTCTAGTCACAGCTCCTGACAATTATCCTCCTCGTGTGCGACCTTAAAATACTTTAATCGGTAAAGTTCTAGGTGAGTATGATCGTAACAGTGCCCTACAGCGGTAAACTTGAGCAATACTAATTATTCCCGAGCAAAAGTAAGAAATGGTGTAGGCGCTGGAAGCTAGAGGGCGTAACTGCTAGTTATATATATATATATACACACTTAATTTAGGCGTGGTGATTTTGTAAGAACAATGTCTACTTTCTGTGTCTTGAAGCTTAACAAGTGAACTGCAGCTGGGCAACAACGACTGACAGCTTTAGAAAAGTAGATCACTATAATAAAAAACACTTACGATATTAAAGAAGTTTATAACATTCAGAAAAAAATAAATTAAACCTCTATACATATAAGAGTGCATTAGTATACGAAAAAAATATTGTTTTATAATCTGGTTACAAAATATCAAATATCTGAGATTTTTGACCTGAATTACTTCTACCGTTTTATACAATACAACATTTAGATGTTCCTCTGATTCCACTATCAGCAAGCTGGTATATAATGTTACGACAGAACATGACGTAGCGAGTTGGTGTTTTACGGCAGTTCGACTATTAATTATTTTCACACTTTTTAAGATTACTGTAACATACTTGATAATATATTATCCATAATAAAACATCTAATGTGGTTTGTTAAAGGTAAATTACACGATAAACTGATATCAATGCCAAAAACAAATATGTAGTGTTTTTTTTTGTTTTTTTTGGCGAGGATAAGTGATAACTAGGATTAAAAACAAATGAACCTTATGCGTGGTCCCTCCTTCATGGCTCTCTGCAAACAACCCACTTCTAGGAACACCCTCTTCCAAGTTGCAAGTCCGTGTTTCTCCTTTACATTTTTCAGACCCTTAAAATACTAGTGGTCCTTGTTTCTTTACTTACTAAAAACTGCATCCTTAATGGACTAGATTTATTTTTATTTATCGTTGGCTGTTAATAATAATCATGATAATTAATCTTATTAAGACTCTTAACACAATCATAGATCCAATGTGTGTACAGTAGAGTCTCAACACAATCTTAGATCCAATGTGTGTACAGTAGTGTCTCAACACAATCTTAGATCCAATGTGTACACAGTAGCGTCTCAA